CCTCGTGTTTATTATCGCGCGATAATTAGTCTTTCTTCGTCAAGATGTCAAGCCATACGTTAGTTATAAGCGCTTGCTAGTGTATACGAGACGAGATTATTAATGGTCGTCGATATATGACATTCAAGGTTGAACAGCACGTAATAGACACCGGCTAAATCAATTTTATACCTCCTTTGTCTTTAGAGGGTAACTATCCTTCAATGAATTTCCCAATAAATATTTTTTATTCATTTAAATCATTATTCTCTCATCGATTGAAATTTTGTCAACTATTCATGAAATATTATCTTTCTAATTCCAAGCATCAATAAACATTAAATAAAAACAATATTTTAACAGTTAATCAGTGAAATAATACTCTCATTTCTGAATTATATTATTTCACTTGGTTGTTAAATGAAAAAAAAAGCTTTTAATGCTTTATGAATATTCAGCAAAATTTCAAAATATGAAGTATGATTGTAGTGCACTAATGATTGTGTAACAAATTTAATTATCATGATAATCATTAAAATATTTGAATAATGAGAAATTCATTTAATTTTATCCACTGTCAATTCAACAGCTGTTAGTCAATTAAAGTGTATTATTATTAAGAGTTATAATTTATTAATTATTAAAAATCCGAGCACAAGTTTAATTATATTCAAAAAAATTCAATTAATTATTTACTAATTTAATGTCAAATGGAATGAAAAACAACATAACTAAGAAATAAAATATTTTTTGTTTAGCTTTTTTATAGAAATAAATAATGATTTTACTTAATAACTTTCTCTGAAGAAAATCTAAAAGCATTACATAGAATTACCGAATTATTGAACTCCATTGTGAGATTTTAGGTCAGTAATATTTTTAATTAATATTAAGCTTTTCATCTAACATTCATTCTTAATCTATTTTAAATCAACCTCCATCAAGAGATAAAGTTTTGATAAATACTTCTACTTTAATTTTCAATAACTCTTTGATGTGGCTCATAAAAGTAGACTAATTTAAAAAAGAGAGATAAAATATGAAAAAGAATAAATCAACAATTGTGAAAAATAAAAAGTAATTGGATAAAAAGTATTTTTAAGATATGATAAAAGTATGAAAATGGACTAATATCTCAATATAGATGCATAGAACATTGAATGTGACCGACATTCTATTATAGTGATTAAAGGGTAAAGATGCGCGTGGGCTTTCTCAAGAGACTTTTCATGTATGCCTCTTATAAAGCAGTAGCAGTAGCAGCAGTTCTCCTTCTGGCGCACGAGATCAACAAGTCAATGGGTCGAGAGACGCGGCTGAATAGCGAACGAGATCTATTTGCATATCTTCACGTCCATAAACGGCGCTTTCCTCTTCTTACTCTTCACATCATTATTTCTCTCTTTCTCTTCTCCTATCTTCTTTTCGCATTTTTTTCATATATTCCCTCTGCATAATTCATACTCTCTCTCACTCTCACGCCATATCTCTCTATCCGTTATTTTCATCTTTCATCGGTCTCCTGCTGTGCGTTCAACTCCTCTGTGTCCCTTTAAACCTGCAAACGCACTTGGGTATAAAATTTTTTTCCACTGCTACTCCTGCTCGGATTTCATTCTTTTTGCCATCACGAGAGTCTACCCACGCACGCTTTTGACAGCTTTATAAAACTTTTGAGATACTTTTTTACATGTGTAAGTTGATTTTTTAACACTGAAAATATTACTTTAACCATTTATGAATGGTTTCATTGAATTCTTACGATTTTTTATTTCATTGTTTATTTCTTTAGATTGATTTTTTCATGTTTGAGTTTAAAACCAATCATTTCAGTATAAAATTCTTTTTGCTGACATTGAGAGTTGATTTTATGCATTTCACTGAGTATTGTGGGGTTTGGGAAGTTTAAAAAGATAATATAAATTATAAAAAAGTAATAACATTATTTAACAGTAAAAAAAGCTTTTTCCAGTGTAATACGTAACTGAAAGACAAACTTTCTAATAGGAAGAAAAAGTTGTGATTTACATTAAATTTAGAATGTCCTAAACATAAACTATTTTTATTCAATTTTTATCTAAACAAATAGATGTAAATAACCACAATTTTTAGTTAATTCAAATTGACTTTAAAATAATTACATAAAGATGAATGCAGTTGTTATTTCTTTTCATAATTAGATAGTATTAATCTAAATTTAAATCAATCAAATATTTAAATTAGCATAAAATATGCATTCAGAGCTGCACTCAATTAAATCATTGTACAAAATTAATAAGTCAGAATTTTAGTGGGTACTTTCTGTTATTAATCATAACTTTTTTATAAATACTAAAATCTTTTTTACTCTCACTTACAAAGACTCAACATGCCTTTTATGATTACAATAAAGCACAAACTGAGAAAGAATGAGATTTAGTTTAATGCTCGTAATCTAAATTAGAAAACCATCCTCTTAGGAGGATTGATCATCAGAAAAAAAGAATGTCTATATATGCTGAATTGGTGGAATTTTAATTCATCGCTAGTAAGTAAATTAAATGAAGATTGGTATTTACGACAGAACGATTTCACGGGATATTTACAGCTACGATACGCCTGAGGGAGATTCACTTGGCGAGAATTATATTACACCCTGGGTCTGCTTTGCTTGCTTGCGATCGGGAAGGTTTATGTAACGAGCTCGATAGAGAGGAAGCAGGCGTACTAAATGCTGCAGGGGAAAGTGAGCCGAGAAGAGACAAAAAAGACAAATAGATGTGTGTGTAAAAGAGTAGAAGAAAAAATACACCAACTGTTTCAACGATTAAATCATTTACGAAGCATATAAAGATTCATATCAGTTCTCATTATTTTTCAATTAATTTGATGTATTAACGGATTATTAATTATTTTTATAACTACTTACAAATAAATAACGTCCGTATCAGATTTAAATTCTGGACAACCTCTAAAAAAATTCTTTAAAACCATTACAGTGTAGTGACTCGATCAAACAATTGTTTACAAGACTTTGTTTGAATAAAAGCAAAAAAAAAAATTTTTGTCAGTTGGATTTTTTTGTTGGTTTTTGATTTCAAAATTAAAAAGTCTCAATTTTTTTTTTAGAATTCACAGTTTTCGAACTATGAATATTTAAAATTTTTGAAATGCATAAATCAAAAATCTTTCAATGGATTGCAGAATTAAACGTTGTTAAATTCCCAATAAATTGTAATTTTTTTTTAAATACTTCCAATTAATTTGGATGAAATTATTCAAGTTTCAGTCACGTTTTCAACACTTGTTTAAAACATCAAAAGCTTTTTTTTATTATTAATAGAAATTTCAATAATTTATTTTAACAAGCTGTCAAAAATTTGTCATAATAATTTTCATAATAATTGAAGTAACTTCATCATTAAATAATTGAATAAAAAATGTAAAAAAGCATAATGAAATGAACTTTTTTACAATTCCTCCTGTGTACCAAGGAATTTTATTATTAGAGATTATAAAAAGTATAATGAAATAATAGTGAAAATAAAATTAATTGAAATGAAAATTGATATTATATCTTTTTATGATCTTTAATAATTTATTATGAGTACTTAATTGATAAAAATATTTCAATAAATAACGTTTTTTATTCATCTAAACTATTGTTTAATAAATAACGTCATTAAAATAAAATTTGCTTATCAGCTTGGAATCACAAGCACACAAACATTACGAACTTCCCGAATAAAAAAAAATAAATGTAGCAGGTAAAGAGGAACATTTTAACAAGATAATCTTGGTACGTAGGTAAAAACACTCGTTTGGAAATAAAAATTGATGTGAAAAAGGGTTATAATTTATTCAGAACTAAGTGGGAATTGAATATGATGTCGCGAAAAGCAGGATAATTTAAATTCAATGTGCCTAGTGCAAGCTTTAACTCGACGTTCTATAGCAAGAGAGTATAACCGCGCGCTACGTCACGCACGATACTCTTTTACCCACATGTATATATCTTTACATGTAGATACATGTACACACATATATATGTCTATCATTTATTCATTCAACCTCGGCGATCAACGCACCGAGATTGTCGGTGTTGCTTCGCGTCTAGTCTACTCGTTTTCTTTTCTTTCTTTCTCTTTCACTCTGCCTCTCACTTGTTTTGGCTTTTTGCTGCTTGTACTGATATAGCCATAAACAAATGCAAAATAAACAAAAAGGCAAAAAAAAAAGAAAATAATAAAAAGAAAAAAGTTGAGCGCTTTTATCAGTCAAATGCACTTTGGCTATTTTTAAAAAGAGTAGCTGAAACTGTATCTTTCATTGAATATCGAATTTTGTCTCGCACATTACGTGATTCGCTCTTTATCAATTTCAACAACTTTTCGATTGTGTACCTTTCTACTACACCATTCTACACACTCTTTCTCTCACTCACTATCATCTATTTTTAACAGTTCGATAAAAAAATATTTTTATTTATTCTATCATTGCCGTTCTTTCGCAAGTCTATTACCTCTGTAACTCATGTTATACATCGATTCTTCCTTGGCCCTTGTTGCCTTTCTCAAGCTGCATGGAACCACCTATCGTTGGAACGTACGATAAAGTTTCTATCTCTCCCCCGCAATGTTATTTATTCTCAAGTACTTCATGACGCGCCCACGCATTTTACGTTGATATATACTACTACAATATCACACGAATACAACACTAATTGCATCAAACACTTTACAAAAATTTTTCCTTTCATGATGATATACAAGACATGACTTTAACAGCTTTATTGAATGTTCTAGAGTTCAAAAGTCCATTTTAATTAATAAATTCAAAGTTTTATTTTTCTATTGACATTTTTATTATTTAGTTTTTATTTTTGCAATAAAATTGTCTATAGACTTTTTTTTTCATTTTAATCGAATCTAAATTTTTTGTTATAAACGGAGAATAGTGTTAGCGGTAGAATTATTGTTATTAACAATGAAAACCAATAAAACACGATGTTGAAAACTTGGAAAAATATTATATGAACTTACAGAAATATTTATCTTCATAAAACTCCAATATTCAAAATAGCTCACCTGTAACAAAAAGAATAAGATAAAATAAAAATATTGAAATAAAAACCATCAAAAAGTGTTTTCATGTTATCAAGATGTTACTTTATAATAAATATATTACAACTACTATATCAAATACTTCTATGGGAACAATCGAAAAATTGTTTTATTTTTAAAAATCGATTTTTCCCAGTACCTATTATTGCCTCACACATTCATTGTCAGGTGAATTATCTAATTCACTCCATTTTTCTTCCATCTAATAAATTTATTAGATCAAATAAAATATATATCCCGCGCTATATAAAGGACAATAAATTATGTACAAACGTACATATAAAAGTGAAAGCAATATAAAATCATGTACCATTAATAAATGTGTCGAGACTTTGCATTTGATTTAAATAAAGGAATTATCAAAGGTAAATATGAAATTAAAATCATTATATTTTCTTTAGTTTTTTTTGGACAGACCGTGGTATAAAGATTATGCATTAGTTAAATATAGTTGGCGGTTCACTATCACTTGGTTTTTATCAGAGTTTTTGCTTTTTATCATGTCCATATCTAATTTTTTTTTTTCATTATACTCTGCTTTCTCCACACGCTACAAAATATTTTGTTCCTTTTGTTTTTTTACTTCTTGCGTAAATAGTAGATAGAGGCGAATTATTGATGCCGTGAACACTCTGGTAGACTGCTGCTATCGAGCCAAAGTAGAAATTGCAAAACTCCACGAAGCTATGTGTGAGGATGTGTAGATTACATATGTATGTTATACTATACGATCTAAGAGTATATATACACTTTGAAATGATACTCATTTCTTTCCGGAAGTCTTCGATTCATTCGTTGAATTTTCATGTACTTCTTCAGAGTCTTTCTTAAAAATTTTTATTCGTATCGCAGATCTATATACTACACACAATGCTCGAGAATTGAAATGGTAATAATTTTACATTTGCATAAGAAAAATATTTCATTTTAGTCATGTAAATATTTGTCGAAATTGTTTTTCTTTTCAACTACAAATGTAGAATTGATTATTAATAATATCTTGAACATTATTCAATTGAGATTAAGTACTACTTGGGTAAAATTCAAATCATTTGACACAGTTATTCTTGAAAGTGATTAATGCTGACACTTTGATAAATTCATTGATTATCTACTAATAACCTCGCATCCATCAATGATTCAGTGATCATACGGTTTCGAGTGGCAATGAAATATGGTCATATATGCTCCTAATTATGTTTCCCTATGGTATACCGTAATGTTACTACCTCTTTACTACTCTTTACCTACTCTATTACTACCATAAAACTACCCATTACATAAATAATTACTAAATGGTTCCGGTTTTAATAAGTGCCATATCATACGAAGTATCTCAAAAATTAAAGGAGCCAGGTTCAGGACTTTAGAATAGGGTCGAATTTAAACTGCTACTTGGAATATTTAACTGGAATAACTAAGAGTTGGCATGCCTTCCTTAATAGAAAACCAGACTGGTTTATTGTTAGTTTAACATTGAGTCACAGTTGAACATACTAATCCAATCTTGAGTCAATCATGCACCAATCTTGCTTCCTAGTAGGGTTGTTGGACATGAAGTGGGCCTAAATATAATCAATTTAGATTTGAGCTAAGCCTATGCTGTGAATGACCTTTGCTAAAATTGATGATAAAAAATGTCTACTCATGATAATAATAAAACTGTTCTTCAGTTTTTTTTACAATTCAAAGAACAAATCTTCTAACGATCATATATAATTGATTCGTTAGCTCGCATGTGCTTACAGCAGTAGAGAGAATCCAGGAAACTTGACCTTACAGGGAAGTTGAGCCATTTGCGTGTTAGGATATCGGAACTGGTTCAACTCTCCCATCGGGTCAAGTCTATTGAACTCCCTCTTCTTGAAAAAAAAAAAGAAAAAAACTATCACGAAATATATTCTGATAATATCCTTCAACCTATCCATTTGTTTTAAATCTTTTCAAATTAATGTTTCATGTTCATTCATCAATAATTAATACTATCAATATAAAATATTAATTAAAACACCAACACATTTGCTTTTACATGAATAATGAGTAAATTGCATTTCAAATATTCGTTTCCTTTTGAACTGGATTTTTTTTTCACGAAAAAAAATGCAAAACTACTCGTGCACAGCAAATCATACTAAATAACATGACATTTATAGGTGATGGTAATCTATCATGATGGAACCTCGATCATTCACCAAGGGTTTATTTTCTATATTAATAAATCTTCATATGTAAAACCAATATTCTTATTCAGATAAACCCAACTAATAATGAATGAACAAATGTATTGAATTGAAATAAACATTACTTTCTTGCTAACATAAATTAATTAAAGTTAATGAATTAATTATTCATTGATCAACACTCCATTATACTAAATTACCATAAGTTATAAATTCACTGTTATTCAATTTGATTAACAACACAAAGTGAATTAACATTTTTATATTGACGTAAAAATAAAATTTTTATCACTATCAATTAACTATAAATTCCTGTTTGAAGTCAACTGTTTTCTATTTAAACAGAATTGATTACTTATGAAAGTGTACTTTTCAAGTATTTATATATTCAAACAAACGATTCATTGAATATTAATAAACCGTATTAAACCTACACATATTTTTTGTCAGAATAAAATAATGAGTATTACAATAACACAGTTACTCTTCACAAGATAATTTGATTACAATAAAATTAATGAAGTGTGTTATCAATATTAATATTGTAATTATAATTATTATTATTATGTTATAAATAATAACAAATGGTTATCGATAAATTATGATTTTCTATTGATCAATTATGCTTCAGATTACTACAAATTTTATTCGCAATAATAATGACTAGATAATTAATCAAACCCAACGATTCAATTGCATTATAAACCAATAGTATATTCGATTAAATTTGTTGCTGTAACATTTGGTAAAAATCATAGATGACCGGTTGATTGTTTGTAATTGATTGTCATTTCATTTAATTATACATCATTGATGATAAAGTTATGACAATTTAATTATTCTAGATAATACTAAACGAATAAATGTCTATTTTCTTTCATTTCTTTAATAATAAAAATCATGATTTATATTTTTTATAAAAATGACTGATTTGACAGTTTGTTACGTCTGTCAACAGATGAAAATATTTCTGTTATAGATTCCATTATTCTCTTATGGCTTAAGGAAAAATATATTCATTTGTTGTCTATAAATACCAATAGAAAGGATGATAAGAATATTTGTAATATATCCTTTCGTTCTCTGAATCGAGAATAGAAACCACTGGACATAACGTCATTTGTGAAATTGAGAGAAGACATCTAACGGAAGATTTAAGCTCAGATTTAAATCGGAATGCTGAAGAGCTCAGCTCTTGTTATTTGGGATTCTTTTATGTAATAAATTTTTATCCAGTAAATCCTCCAGAGAACCGTAACAATAAAATCTTGAAAACAAAAATATATATAATTTTTTACTCAGAAATATTTGAAACAGAAACAAATCTATGTTATAATAATTTATTCAAATTGAAGGGAAAGTTAAAATTGAAATAAAATGAATAATTTTTTAACTTTCTAATGATAAGAAAAAAAATTCTTAAACAAATTCTTTTTATTATATAAAATTTATGAGTTTTTTAATCAATCTCATTGTAGAATATTTAAAAAGTTAATTTATAATGAGTCAAGAGAGATGATTGATAGAAAATATTATTATAAAATTAAAAAAGAGAAATCAATGATCCTAGTAATCTCAACTGACCTATGGTAAAAAAAAATTTCATAATATTAATTTTACAACAAATAAATTTCATTTGATATAAACGAGGTATGTTCATTATGATGAACAGATTTTATTTATGATAAATAAAATGTATAAATATTAAAATAATTATTTATTCAAAGTAACATGGTTATACCATAAATACTATTCATCATTTATTATAATTATTTCTGGAAAATGATTACTTAACGTAGTAAAAAAGTATGTGCACACTATAAAAAGATTATCTTATATCAAAAAGTTATCAAAGCTATTATAAAGGGTAAAATCAACTATTTTTAATGATGTAAAATTATCAGTTCAAAGCATTTAAACTCTTGTTGAACTGTTTGATCAAACATAGATCATTCATTTCACTATTCCCATTTAATGATGGAACCTTGGAGATAATTTTACTAAAATGTCCTCGTGCCACGATTTAATTAAAAATTTATTTCTTTGAATAAAAATGAGCTTTTTAAATCAACCGATTACGGAACAAAGCTGATTGAAAAATGGTCAAAAGTGAAAAGTGATATGATTACGTATGTAAGTAATGCAAATATTTACATTTATACAGAAGTTGCGTCAATTTTGCAAGTGCAATGAATTATTAAAAATGCTAACGAATCGTTACTTAATGATTCCTATCTACTATGGCCATTACTGCGAATGAACTACTAGCATTGTTGGAATGTGTATACAAAGCAACAAAGTTATGTCTACCAAGTATTATCCATACGTAAATGAAATTATTTCTTGGAGAAGAAGGGCAGCCAACTGTATAATTTCAAGCTTCTCTACATCCACGATTATTTTTACTTGAATCGTTGCATTCCCTGGAACTCGACGACCAAATTCGAGTGAGCAATCTTGAGATGCTTACCTTTCTCTTCTGTTGACCCAACTATATCAGATTTAAATCCCTTGAGAAACATTTTACTTTTGAGTATAACAGCTCTAGAGTAAATTGAATGAATTCCGTCTTTGTTTCCAGATTGTCAATAGATTAAACCAAAGAGAGATTTATTCCTGAGTATCGAGTAACACGAAAACTTTAGTATCAATCCAAGCTTAATTGTCTTCGAGTTTAAGGGTATAACGACTGATTACTTTGGAAATTTCCTAACAACACGATTCTGTCTACATCTTCTCTATACTTTGCTTCATGAATTTTCATAGTAGAATAATAAATC